TGTGGCCGACCTTTAAGTGAACACAAGTCTCACAAGAAATTCTCGTCTCTTATCAGATGAAAGCAAATACAATGTATTAATAGTGTATCAGTGAATGGGACCCAACATTATATGCCATTTTCACTGTCTCTTTAGTGTACAGTATTTTGAGCCATAATGAGAGGCCCCTCACAAACAGACGGGACACACAGTTGTCGCACAACACATGGCAACCAAATGAAATGAATTATTCTTTGTTTTTACTTCTTTACAATCCCTATATTGAAAGTTAGGCAAAACTGTTTGTATTGCATAGCGATTGCATCAAACATGTTATAACATGTTATTTAGGGTTTGATTTGATATGAAATATAATTAAAGTTTGTTAAGAGTTAAGGCATTCGTTGATTGCATAAGAAAGGACTCGACAAACGATAGACAAAAAGTATTAGATTAGAAAAAGCTGTAACTGTTTGTCGATTTGATTGAAGTATTGGTCCAATAGTTGTGCAGCAGTTGTAGTCACATGTGAGGGCACCAGACGTACAGCACTGTGTGTACAGCACTGATGCCTGTGTGAGCCTCAGCCCAGCCTAAGCCCATCGCAAACACTACAATCACTCTCATTATAGTTGTATGCGTTGAGTGCTGTTGTATTACATCATCCCAACACTGCTCTCACAGTTTGTCCTTCAAAGTCATTGAGCTTTCATTTGGACCACAATTACTGCACAATTAATACACGTTTAGTCCGAAGTGTCGGCGCTATAGACGGCTATAGCAGTGAATGTGTGCAGAGATAGCAGTGAAAGCTATAGAGAGTGTTTCGATTGTATTCCATTCGAAACGTGTTTCAATGCATTCGGTGTTCATTTCGTAATCACAAACTCTGCCAAACATTTCACACATTTGTCACCAAAAACACCACTAATTACACACATTTCCACTTCTCTTCACAACAAGAGCTAATCCATTGAGTAGTCATGACTTTGGAGGACAACGAGAGCGAAGACATGACGGACTCCGCGGCCAACGCGACCGCCGACGACGAGACGGCTCAGTCGGCCAACACTAGTGCGGACCAGGAGTTCATTTTCATCCACGACACCGGATTCAATGTCCACATACAGTGTCCCGCTTTGGATCCATTCGAAGTACAGGTATGACACGACCCAAGCATGTCATGCATGTCTTCCTCTTATTCCTATAACTCATATTGTCTGACCTGAAGGTGAGTGCCATGGAATTGGTTCAGGAGATACATCACCTGCTGATGGACAGGGAGGACACGTGTCACCGGACCTGCTTCTCGCTACAGATGGATGGCATGACTTTAGATAACTTCACAGAACTGAAGAATATTGAAGGTCTGAAAGAGGGTTCAGTCATCAAAGTAGTGGAAGAGCCGTATACTGTCCGCGAGGCCCGAATCCACTTAAGACATGTCCGCGATTTGCTCAAGTCATTGGATCCGTCGGACGCATACAATGGCATTGATTTGAATTCGCTTTCGTTTGTCAACACTATCTCTCAATCAGACATTTCGGGTCTGTTTTAAACTAGATTATATTTCCAACAATTGATTAGACATGTGATGCTTACGTCCTCTTCAGACCATTATTTGAACTAATTTTGAATTGAAATTTGATTTATAGAGAAGAAGAGAGTGCAGAGAGCGGATTCAGTGGACTGTACGCCACCCGACTATATACTCCCCGGAAGTAAAGACAGACAATTACTTCCATTACAGCCACAAA